AAAATTATCAAAAGAATGACTAAGATAGAATTAATAGAAATTTTAATACTTGTATTATTCCTATACCTTTGAATCCAGATAGTAGTCAAAGATCTGTTTGTGATTTCAAGCTTTATTTTTTTAAAAGACTAATTACTTTTAATTATATATTATTTTACTTACAAATTAATAAGGAAGCAAAAAGTATAAATATTATATTATTGTTTTTTTTATTAGTTTTTTTTTATTAATTAATTTTATTTAGATTTTTAAATAAGACTAGTAGTATTATAATATACAATTAGATGTAAAAGTTTGTTGAACACTTCTAAAAACTATTTGTATTACTGTTAGTATTAATATAAAAGATTAACTATTCTGGTAGATCTACATCTATTATATTCTTATTTCCAAATAAAGTTCTTATAGTTAAACTATAACATTAACTAGGTATAAAAATGAATTATCATATTGCATTTATGCTTGCTTATCTGAAAAACAAAAAGAAGATATACTTTTATTGCTAATTAACAATATTGAAAACTTGTTACCTTCAAGTAATTTAAATAATTTAAAAACTTTGAATAACTCAAAAGTCTTAAATAAATTAGAAAACTCAAGTGAATTGGAAGCCTCAAATAAATCAGAAGCCTCAAATGAATCAGAAGCCTCAAATACTACAAAAGTTTCAAGTAAATTAAGATCATTATATATATTAAAAGTATATATATATATATTTATTTTTTGTTATTTTAATAGTTATTTATTATTTATTTATTTATCTGTTATTTATTGATAAATCTAAAGCAAAATAAAGTTTAAGTTGTTCTGTTTACTCAATATCATCAACAGTCTTATTGTCTAAATCTTCTATTTTTAAACAATTTCATACACCATTTCAGGATTTATCTAAAATAAACTTACCACTATACTCAAATGCATATAAAAAAATCCTACACTTAGTAGTCAATAAGTTCTTCATAAAACTTTCAAGATAAATAATTCTAAAGAGCAAGAAATAACTAGTAAAACTACGATTATCAAAAATTACTATATTATAGCTAAAAATATTACTATCAACTAAAAAATATATATTCAAATTGATGTAAATTTGAAGATTTTATTATTGACAATTTTAAAGGCTTTCAGTCCTAATACAGCGATTTAATATTTGTTTTCAATAAAAAAATAAACTATAAATTATGTAACTAAATGAGATTTAATAAAAATAACTGCTAAATAACCCAAGTTATTTGGTAAGCCTGATCATAGTAGGATATCAGATAATTATTAGTATTTTTTTTATTCATAAAATTTTACAAATACAGTTAATTCAAAATGAATTATTTAGTATTAAACTATTTGAAAAGATCAAATTAACAAACCTATATTATATTTGTATTAAAAAACTATATTTTTTACTAATAAAATTTTTAATTAAATCCTATATAATATTTATACTATAAAGCTATAATTTACAATATTTATTTATATATTTGCACTTCTATTCACTATAAATATTTTACAGATATATGCTATATAACTTATACACTTCATAAAATTTTCAATATTACATTATTTTTAATATATACTATAATTAATTTTATATAAAATTTTATACAAAAAGCTATAAACTATATTGCTATAAATCTATACAATAATGCATATTTTTATATTATCTATACTACTATATTTCTATAATATCATATTTATGTAATTTAAATTAACTTAATTTCTGTTTAATTTATTAAACAACTATTATTATATTTAAATAATAAGTAAATAAGTTATATTTAAAATATAATTTATTATATTTATAAAATAAATTATATTAAAATTAATATATAATATCTTAATTTTTTATTTTTAACTTATCTAAATAATATTTAGAAATTAAAAAGTTAATATCACAAATTTATACAACTTTTTTTATAGATTAAAAATTAGAACCCCTTAGCACGCAATAAAAATAACTTG